AATTTTAATAAAAATTAAATATAATTATAAAAAGTTTTATTAGTAACATCTTTCAATTTTTTATAAAAATTTTAATTGGACATGCAAATTATATGACAAATGATCTATATTAGACTTTACTCTTAACTGCTATGTTATACTATTTCTACTCTTGTAAAGTTCACTAAAACCTTAGCATCTATCTTTTTAGCATCTTTTTTATTATTCTTTACTAGTCACAACTCAGAACTGTCAGTTTTATTTCAGATTACTAATCTAAATAGCTTAGTATAATATACTTTTGTATTCTTTTTTCATTGGTAAATCTGATAGTCTAGTTGGTTATATGCTCTTCTATACATATTTATATCTAGCTTTAACCTTTAGTTCTTATGAAAATATTTTGTGAGCTTTAACCAATTTGATGATACTGTCGAAAGTTCATGCTATCTCTTTATTTGAAAATTTCCAAGTAGATTTCTGTTATTTTGGTTTCTTAGTCTTCTATATTCAATGATCTTATCATAGATTTGCATTAAAGTCTTATGCAATACTGGTTATACATTCCTCTATATATATATAATGTTATATTTTGCATAGATGCTTAAGCTCCAATGTCAGTAGAACCTGACTTGATATACCTGGGTTATAGCCACATGAGGCCAACTGATTGACAGAAGACAATTATCATAATACAAATATAATTTCTAAATTTTATTGTAAATAGGATTTGAACCTTAGACCTGCCACCTGGAGAATGACAACTCAACCACTATACTAGGATTGTTATTCTTTCTAATCAAATTTTTTTTTTTTTATAGTTAAAGTCCCTGTCTTGGGAAATGCAATGTTTTTATTTAAGTATTATAGAACATGGCATGCCTCCAGAGGCTACCAATACATTGGAGGTTACAACTAGTCATATGTGTACTTTTGGTGCCTAATTTAAGTAGTCTACTTACATATTACTATATAAGTTCTATACTAGTTACTATACCTGCAAGCTGACTAGAGGTCTTGCCTATTTAAACCCTCTGCATATGCAGCCCTCATTGTATTACTAGAACATCTCAAAACTAAACCCATCCAAGTTCCTATTGCTTGTTGTTATCCTTAGAACTACTTTATCCTTGACAAGAAACTTACTAGAGCCTTTATATTCTACATATATAGACCTAGTTTTATGCAATATGCTATAGTTATCTAATACTTGCAGTCATAGGGGTTATCTGTTTAACCACTATGTTACACTATTTCTACCCTTATAAAGTTTACTAGAACCCTAGTACCTATCTTTCTGGCATCTTCTCCATTATCTCTTATTAGCTGCAACTCAGAACCATTGGTCTCATTCCAAACTACCAATCTAGATGACCCAGTATGATATACTTCTGTATCCTTTTCCTTTGGCAAATCCAGCAGCCTGGTTGGTTATGTGCTTCTCTACACATATTTGTCATCTAGTTTTAATCTTCAGTTCTTATGAAGGTGTTTTATGGTCTTCAACTGGTCTAATTGTATCATCAAAAGTCATGCTACCTCTTTATTCAAGGATTTTTAAGTGGGTTTCTGTCACCTCGGTTCCTTAATCTTTTACATCTAATGGTCTTATCATGAGTTTGCACCGAAGTCTCATGCAACACTGGTAAGCATTCCTCTATATATATATAATATTATACTTCACATAAATGCCTGAGCTCCCAAAGTCAGGAGGACCTGACCTGATGTATCTGGGTAACAGCCATATGAGGCTAACTGATTGACAGAAGACAGTTACTGTAATGCAGATATAATTTTCAAATTTCATTATAGATGGGATTTGAACCTTAGACCTGTCACTTGGAGGATAACAACCCAACCACTATACTAGGATCACCATCCTCCTTTCTAATCATTTTTTTTAAAGTACTATAAAAGTATTTTAATAATAAATGATTTAAGAAAAAGTAGACTGAAAAAATAAATAACATTGTAATATTGTTTTATTATTTTTATATTTAGCTTTTTTATGAACCAAATGTTTTTTTCAAAAAATGAAACTTATTTTACAAAGTAAATATTTAGATTTATTTAACATCTTGAAAAAAATTGTTATATATAATATCAAACTAATATATACAAGTAATATATTGATAAAATTTTTATTGTTTGAATTATTATTTATCACATATAATATCATCAGATTGGAGCCAAATTAGCCTATATGACCAAGCATAATAAAAAATCTTTTTTATTGACTAATGAAATACAAATATAATATAAATTATTACATGAATATTTATATTAATTTTAGAGTACCTCTTATATGAAAATGCAATCACTTATATAACAAGTAACTAAGCATGTTACTTATAATTAAATAACTTTCAAGAATACATTAATCTTTTACTTTACTAGCAGTTTGCAAATTTAATTATATATAATCACATTTCTAGAAGACTTTTACTGATGCCAACTTTTTTGCCAATAAACTAGTAGGCTTATAAATTTTTTGTTAAAAACATTATTTTAACAACTAATTTGTTTTTTATATTTTATTAATATGAATAGAGGTTGTACATATATAAGAATCATCTAGGTAACCTAAGTAACATCTGTTAATTAGGTCATAGTTATTACTAATTGGGTAATCTAAATTAAATTAACACAAGTACTATTTTAAAATGTTACAGAAAGAAAGTTAATCGACACAAATTACAAGTAAAACATGAGCAAAAATTTGAGCAAAATCCTGAAAAAATAAATATAAGATTGAGCATTTTGTATATATAAAATTTGAAACAATTTGAAAATATAAGGTTAAGCATTTTGTGCACATAAAATTTAAAACAATCTGATGAATTGGGTCTAAGGTTGTAATAGTACTATAATTTTATGTAATGTATAATTTGAAATAAGCTTTCATAAGAAACATAATTATAATTAAAATTTTAAAACTATATTAGCTTTTAAAATAGTACTTTAAAAAAAAACTTTTAAGCAAATTATAATTATTGTTTATTTTTTTTTTATATTTAGCAATTCTTATGTTATATAAAACTACATCTTATTAAAATACTATCTTTCATAGATTATCATATAATAATGAATATAATCAACATTCTCTTTATTCCACTTTTTAAATCTCAGATTAACAAAATAGTAATAAAATTTTTAGTTAAATTATTCTTTAATCTAATAGGTATTTAAAAAAGTAGAATAGAGAAGATGTTGCTTATATTTAGTACTATATAATAAGTATTATTCAGAGCTTTTTTATAATTACCTGTTATCTTGATTACAAGTTTTAAAACTATATTAGTTGTTGAAATAACGTTTTTAAAAAAAAAATTTATAAGCCTACTTAGCTATATACTATTAGTCAATTAGCAAAAAGTCAGCACTAGTAAAAGTCTTCCAGGAATGTGATTATATGTGATTAAATCTGCAAACTGCTAGTAAAGCGAAGACTAACGTATCCTGAAAGTTATTTAATCATAGGTAATATGCTTAGCCACTTGTCATATGAGCGATTGCATTTTCATACGTATAGGGGGTACTATAAAATTAATATAAATATTCGTGTAACGATCTACGTTACAATTGTATCCCATTAGCCAATAAAAAGGACTTTCCATCATGCTCTTCTACCGTAAGTTCACTTTTATCATAAAATGGTATATTATTTTTGATCTCTGGTATTTTCTTATTCTAATTTATTAAAACTAAAGAAATTATCCTCTCTATCATACGAAGGATGGTCGCTTTAACCACGCTCATAGGAGAAGCACTAAACATTTAGACTTTATTGATAAATGGGACAATGATAAATTGCCTGACGATGGTTAGTATCATTTTACGTATATTCTGTGGAAAAAAGTCGGACCTTATTATTTTGCAGACTTTCATTCACCAAGTCTATCACAAAACACTCGTTTGTCTTAAATAATGCGCTTATAAACCCTTAACGTTATTGAATTCGTAGAAATTGCTGTTCCACTTAAACACCAGCCGTCATTTTCTGAAGAAAACGAAAACTGTGAGTTTATTCGTGTCCTTTCTCTCTCCATAATTTATATATTTATCTCTTAGCCTAATACTTGAAATATTAGTTGATCTTGTTCCCGAACAGCTAAAACCCGGTGCAAATAATAAATGGAAAGACCTCGCATTGGATTTCTTTTAGAGCTTAGAACCGGGTCACCCGTGTCAAAACGGTTCAGCCGGGTCAAACATTTACAACTTGGGCCAAGCCAGTTGAATATGTAACCTCTAAAATCTGTTACTATTACACAGAAAACATAAAATTTAACACATCATCATGGTATTGCGAAAATAAACATCTTTTTTTTCTTACTAATTTATCTAAATGTTCAATCTCGTTAATCTAGATTTAAAAAAAGTTACAAACTTTCGGAGGCTACCATACGGCGAAAATTTTGGCTAAAAATTTTTCTTTGTATAAGCCTTTTCTTTGCTTCCTACGACACACCGGTAATTCGTAGCACAAGATTTTCGGCACGTGAATTTTTGCCAATTAATCGAAGGATCAGGCGTAACGTAAAATCAAAACAATCATCTTTAGAGTTAGGATTAAGGATAAGGAAGGTTTTAGCTTACGCTAAAATTTCACGAGAAATGTTTTTTATTAGAAGGCAGTTTCATAAGTAAAATTTCTAGTTAATTAAAAGGGAAATGCATAATTGCAGGTGAAACTAATTTTAAGTTTCACCTGCAACTCTACTACAGATATACTTGCCGCCCAAATCCCAAACTATTATAGTTTGGGTTTGTCCGCGCCCAAATCCCAAACTCAAGCCCAAATTAATATCTCAAAAACTTGATTAATAATCTTTATTTAAACAAATAATTTATATTCTTATAGCTATATATAATATATTTACAAAATATCAAAATTATTTTGTTGATTTAATTTATTATAAAAGCAATTTGTTTTTTTGAGGTTTGGGATTTCTCCGGGTTTTGCCAGCAAGTATAGTACTGTACGACATCTTCCAGCATTAATAATGCCTGACGAGTGATGCTAAAAATCGGTTTGTTATCGTTTCATCTGACAAAACCTTTGACAATTTGTAAATATTAGTCAATTAGATTTTAATAATCTATATTTAGTTAAAAATTAATGAATCTAAGAACAAAAAATTTTAATTTTATAATAATTATTATAAATGATTTGTAACAATAAATTTGTTTTACAAAATCAGGTACTTATATAGAAGTATAACTATATAAATATGATTATAAAGAAGTTAGCTATATATATTTTTAGTTGGGTCATTATACATTGGAATATTCTAATTGTTTGATATTATGATCAATGAAATTAGAGTTTTAAAAGATAAAGAAATTATTTATTATTCTTTGTTGCAAGCATGCGTTTTTTTCTCTAATACTGTAATCATTCAAAAGAAAAAAATACCATCAACAAATGTTCGGGCCTTTTAATATACCTACAAATGTATAAATTCCTTATTTCCAAGAATTACTACAGCTTATAGTAATTTTAAATCTTGTAACTTATGAATTTCATTTACTCAAGCAAGACATAAATTAAACTGCATACAAAACCAAATTCTTTATTTTTCTCCTTAATATAATATTAAGCAGATGTTAAATTCGAGTATTTCAAACCATCATAAGAACGCATATACCTAATGAAGAGTAATAGAAAAATTTTTATTAATATAATATAAAATTTATCAGGTGTAAAAAGATGAATAATTACGGGTGGATATTATAGAAAATATTTATAACAAAGCAGGTACATATGATCGAATTTTTAAAATAAAGCAGATACATTTAATTATTACGTAAAAAATAATGTAAGCATTTTAAAATTAAGTGTTTGTAATATTATACCCGAATAATTATGGTAGCGGATTTGTAAAGAGCTTTAGATAATGATTAACTTCATTCAAACCAATTATTATCTTGAATAATTAAAGAATTCAAATTTGCGTTCTTATAAAAAGCCTTTATTAATGCATTTTTCCCTTCGGAACCAAGTTGATTATAGCCAATATTTAAAAAAGTAAGAGTAATATTCTTGCAGAGAGCTTCTGCCAATGCTTTACCTCCTTCAGAACAAAGATAATTACGATAAAGATTTAAAGAATTAAGAGTAGTATTCTTGCAAAGTGCCTCTGCCAATGCTTTTCCACTTTCATAACCAAGTTCATTATAGCTAAGATCCAAAAAAGTTAATGTAGTATTTTTGCAGAGAGCTTTTGCTAATATTTTTCCACCTTCAGAACCAAGTTCGTTATAACTAAGATTCAAAGAAGTTAAAGTATTGTTTTTGCAGAGAGCTTCTGCTAAGGCTTTTCCACACTCAGAACCAAGCTCATTCCAGCTAATGTTCAAAGATGTTAAGGAATTATTTTTGCAGAGAGCCTCTGCTAAGGCTTTTCCACCCTCAGAACCAAGTTGATTATCATAAAGATTCAAATAATTTAGAGTAGTATTTTTGCAAAGAGCCTCTGCTAAGACTTTTCCACCCTTAGAACCAAGTTGATTATAAAAAAGATTTAAATAATTCAGAGCAGTGTTTCTGTAAAGAGCTTCTGCTATAGCTTTTCCACCATTAAAGCCAAGTTTATTAGAAAAAAGATTTAAAGATTTCAGAGTAGAGTTCTTACAAAGGGCCTCTGCTAAAGCTATTCCACCTTCAGGACCAAGTTCATTAAACCCAAGATCTAAAGAAGTTAGTGTAAGGTTCTTGCAGAGAGACTCTGCTAATGCTTCACCTTCTTCAAATCCAATATTATTATTATAAAGGTTTAAAGAATTCAAAGTATTATTCTTGCAAAGAGCCTGTGCCAACGCTATTCCACTCTTAGGACCAAGTTCATTGTATTTGAGAATCAAGGAAGTTAATGTAGTGTTATTGCATAGAGCTCTTGCTAACGCTTTCACACCCTCATCACCAAGTTTATTATTGCTAAGATCCAAGGAAGTTAAAGTATTGTTTTTACAGAGAACCTCAGCTAATGTTTGTGCCCCTTTAAAATCAATATTATTCTTTCGAAGATTCAAAGAAGTCAAGGTGGTATTCTTGTAAAGAGGTTCTGCCAACACACTCCACTCTTTAAAATTAATCTTATAAAGATTTAAAGAAGTTATAGTGTTCTTGTTAAGAATTTTTACTAATATATCTACAACTTTAAATTCAGAATCATCTTTGATAGAATAATCAATAGATGTAATAGTAGTATTTTGATAAAGTTGTGCAAGTATCACTTGATTATAATTAATTCTATTAAAACTTAAATGTTGAAGTCTTTTACTTGTTCGTAAAAACATTGAAATTAAAGAACTTTTAACAGCATCTTCAAGATAACAATCGGTTTCATATTTTTCATAGTCAAGCCACTCTTTGATTCCACCGTATAAACAGCCATCAACGCACCTAATATAATTGGTGTAATCAAATAACGGTTTTGGATAATTTGGAAGGATAATATTAAAAGGGACTAATAGTGCTTGTTCTTTGTCATTTAACATTAAAAGAAGTGTTCTTATAAGTTTTCTATTTTTAAAATAGGCTTTTGGTTCATTCCATAATATTGGAATAATAATTCTACACCAATGACGGTTTACAAAAAGACATACGAATAAACTTTTGTAATTAGTCTGGAGGTTATTAAATATATTAAAGAAACATTCAATTGGCAATGTTAACATCGGGCTTCTTTTACATGAGCAATAAAAATCGAGAAGAAATCAGCTATTTATTTTTCAGTGCATAATGGAAGGCACTAATGATCATTAATGACCATTAATCAAACTTATACAAAAACTACGCTTTTGATACATCATCAGTTACCCATTATTAATTAACTACTATGTCGTATCAAAAATACCATTTTTGAATCCACACATGTGTTTACGTTTGCATTTTTTTAGTGTAATAAAAACATAAATTTGATCATTATTATAGGTGAGCTCAGGAACACAATTTTGCTCGTTAGTTTAGAGATTTACAATTCATTTTGCCTATGTGAATATATGGTGTAATGATTATGTACGTAATGTATACACATACAATTCTAGAAAAAAAAATTTCATCCTCATTTTTGTAATCTATTTGAAATTCACAATGTTAATGCTGTTGACAACATTAAAATGGCAGTGAGAATTTTCGTTGATCCTCACTTACATCCATTACATCCTTTTTTAATAACTGATTATTCTATACGTTTTCAAAAAATATGGGAACGAAACGTAAATCATATATCAGTCAAAATTCCTAGATTCTTTAATTTTTGAAGACAGTTGTAAATCCATACTATTTTACAATTTAACAATTTAATTCTGAGAAAGATTGATCAAAACCATATGCTAAATTTAACTTAATACTGCTAATTTGTTATGTAATTATTTGATCGGAATTTTATTTGTCGGATTTTATTTGACGATTAATCCTCTTTTGCGAAATACTACCTTTCTTAAATTGAATTATACACAAATACTATATATTTATAAAAAAGATAGACACGGCCGAATTTTGAAACCCAAATAATTTGTATGACCTTATCAGAAGAAAGTATTGTCCGGAATAGTGTAACAGATTTTCCTATCCGGACTCCTTACTCCGGAAATGTATCAACGTTATAAACAATACGTAGATAAAATATTTGCTTTATTTATGTAAAGAATACAACGCGCGTAAATAAGATATTTTTTTAGTTATATCTATTAAATAAGTACGAAAATAATAAGAACTGATTTAATACTTTCCAATCATTTTGTAGAGGGGTGCAAACTCTGGCTTATGTGCCTTACTAATACAATGGACCCATTCTACTTAATTTTGGATATAAAAATAGCCATTAGAAATAACCGAATGCACTATTTAGCAATTTAGCTTTATCTGGTAATACTTAAGGAATATAAAAATGTAGAAGCTGCGTAGCAGTACAAAACAAATTAAATCTTATAAATCAATTGACTTTGTCAAACGTGATAAAAACAAACCTCTTTTTAGGAAACAATTAACAAAAAGCTTATGAACGTTTTCATTGTCAAATAATTATTATAAAAACTGATAAGGAAAAGGTTTGAGTTATACGGATATGCCTTTATAAACAGACAAATTGCACTTAAATTTGTTAAAATTTTTAATGTTGTTATTTCAACTTTCGTTTTGAAATAATTTATGGTAATTAGAAACTCAATAAATACATTAATAGTTTAAACTGTTCTTGCAAGTTTTCATTAATTACTGTCATTCAGTATTAAGAAGTTAGTATTCAAACTAAACATATCTCGTGATTATATGAAAGTGTATACTGTTGAGTAACTATTGCCTATCTATATAAATAAATATTTAATAATAATTGTTTTTAAATTTAGCACAATAACAAAGTAGGAAAAGATGAATCATACACAACAAGGTACGTAAATTAATCTGGAATTGCAAAAGAATTATACTGAATTTTCTTGTGATATTTGCAGATGATATTGATGCTCGATCAATTTATGTTGGCAATGTATGTGTAGATACCTTTTTAGTACTTAAATTTTTAGTACTTAAATTTTTAGCACTTAAATGCCTATTAATTAGTATTACCTTCATAGCTTGATCGTGATATTACTGTCCAACATTTACGTGACCATTTTGATTCATGTGGGACAATTAAGCAGATTACAATTATTTTCAGGATATTTATGCAAATGAGGTATGTTCAATTTTTTGTTTGAAATTTTAGCTTATAAAGAATAACATTCCCATTTATATCACATATTACGTATAGCCACGCTTTTATAGAATTTAGTGATGAATCAGAAGTCAACATTGCGTTGTGTAAGAATGGAACCGCGATTGATGGATATATTATTCACGTGAGTTTAATGTTAGATTCTTTATGACAAATATTCATTACTAATTTGGCTTAAAACGTTTTTTAAAAAAGGTCGCTACAAAATGGATTAATACTCGTACAATTTATGTTAGCAATGTGGGCATTGTATTTAATTTATTTAAATTTTCACTATCCTTTTTTTTCATTTATTCGTTATTTAATAATATCATAAATCATACTCTTATTTTCTTTTATTTGAAAATTGTATTAGCTCCATGATAATGTTACCGAAGACGAATTAAGAAATCTTTTTCAACATTATGGAATTATACATCATATTAGGATATTTAATGGGTATTTTAATTATTAGTGATTTCTAACTCAATATATTACAAATGTTTCATAATTATTCAATATTTTATCACCTTATAGATATGCATTTATAAGCTTTACCACAAGTGCCTCAGTAGATGATGCTTTGCGTGAAAATGGAACACTACTTGGTGGAAGAAATATTAAAGTATAGCTTATTTTCATATCAATTTTATTTAAATAGATTATTATAATTTAACTTAGGCCATTTTTTTAAGGGTAAATCCTATTTTCTCGACACCCATTTTACCTACGGCCTATTTAACCGACATCACATAGTGATACGATTAGGGTAAGCATTTTATTAGTTGCAGATATATATTAGTAGTAAAAATTGTTATCTGTGTGATGCCAGTTAAATGGCTTTTAGGTTAAATGGGTGTCGACAAAATTGGTGTTTCCCTTTTTTTTAAATACTTTCAAGGTTTCCAGAAAGAATTTAAGAGATAATATGATATGGATTTACAATGTATATATTCTTTCTTGTTAGTATTTATTATTTTTTTCAATATTATATTCACAAATTTTCATCTTATTTTAGATTAATCAAAATATGTCACCTGATGATTTACAATTTCATTTTCAAAGTTGTGGAGGAATAAAATGTGTTTTTATTCGTGATAAAAATGGTGATAGAAGGTAATTAATATTCATAAATATATTTTCATAAGCATTTGGATTGTAATAAATCTTTCGATATTAAATTATCATATAGATATGCAATCATAAATTTTGTCAAACGTTTTTCGATCAATAAAGCACTTCGAAAGAACAATACTTTATTGAGAGGGACCCAAACACGAATCCAGGTATAGTGAATATTATTAAAATAGTATAATGTTTAAATTCGTCATTAATTTCATTTTTAAATCTTCAATCATTTTCAGGTTTCCCTACGCAGATTTTAGGTTGCATTTTCATTTAAACACACATAATGAAATGAATTAATATTGCTCTACATCTTTACACTAATTTGATGTTTCATTCTGTTGTTTGGTTATAAAATTTTATTAAAATCTTATAATGTATGTGATTAAATATTAATAAGAATTTATTTTTATTTTATTTTATTTTTTTCTTTTAAAAAGACTTGACTAAAGCTAAATCTAACGCGTTGACTGAATTTAACTTTTTTTTTCTTTATTGGCCGTTCTACAAACACCGTCATTGTTAACCGAATTATAGTGATAAAAAAATGGTTTTTGTACGTTTTTTATATTTTTTGAGAAACTCACGCAACCTATTTTTGCAATGTAATATTAAATATACTAAGCAAACTTTAGAGTTTTTATATGATATATTGCGTTTTACCTAGCAAAGTTTATACAAGACATATAAGAAAATAAATGTTGTATGTATATTAAACTACTAGAACGTCAAGTTTCAGTTCTCTGAGCAATAAAGAATTAAAGGCAATAAATATCTATAAAGGTTATAGAATATATTGTAATATTGGCATATACTTTTTATTACATTTAGTATCGACGTCTAAAAATATCCTAATATATATACGTAATAGGTTTTCATTAATTTCTTATGTAATTTTTGGATTATGAGAAACTGCTACTTATATAGTTGAAATATGAACTAGGTATATTTTCTAGAATGCAAATATATACGTATATATACTAGTAAAATAATAGTTGAACTATAAATGTTAAGTCTTTTTTATAATTAATATTTAATAGATAATTAAATATATAAAAGATATATATGTCTATCTTATAGTAATGTTTAAGGTATTTTGCAATGTTTAAGATATTTTATTCTAAATATAAAATATAAATTTTAATAATTTTAATTCAAATTTCGTTTGATTTCATATCAATTCTATCTTTAAAATTTAGGACTTCGGAAGTGATCTGCAATTCATGTAATTATGACAGTCGCTCCTGTATACTTCTTGGAATAACAGTCATATAATTTTTAAGTGTGTTTATAGCAATTATTTTTAAATAAAAATCAATTATATAAGCTTAACTAGATAAACCAACTAGTTTTCTCGTGAATGAATAGTCTTTATTAACAGTAAAAATATAAATATATATTCATTTAATTTAAAATAAATTTTGTACATTTTCTATTTTACAAATAGAATTTAAAAAAATCCTTGTCAACAAAATAATAAAGTATTAAGCCCTATTATTTTACTAAAGATATGTATGTTCGTACATAAACAATGCAATAATAACTTCTTTGAAAAATTTACTAACAGATGTGATTCACTTTTAAAGCCACACATGTAACCAATTATTAATAAGTCTAAACTTATTAAAGTTACTGCTTCATCACAAAAAAACTACTTTATGAATAAAAAAATCTAAAAATGATGTGGCAATAAATATTGTTAATACAGCTTTTTCAAAAAGATTACTGAATTTATCATCTAATATGCATACAATTACATATGTTAATTATAATAAACTTAAAACTACAAGTTTTTAATATGAAAATTCAAAAAAATATGAAAATAATTTTTGCATCAAATATGGGCACCAAGACTACTAATTCACATTGTATGCTTTTCACTCATTTGATTTTGTGACCTTTGAGTTTATTTTTTATTACATTGAGTAATCTGGATATTAAATATATAATCAAGACAGCAATTTCTCGATTCTTTTATAACTCTTTAAATATTTCATCGAGAAACTCAATTTGTTGTCAATATTAGTTACTTCATCTTTGTTAATCAAAGGAGTTTCATCTTCATTATCGCAAAATATTCATCTTCATTATCCTGAGGAGCACCATCATTTTTAATGTAAAAATTGCCACCTTCGTTAGACGCTAGGTCTGAAATTACTCATTTTAAATTTTTTTTATTATCGTTTGTTTTTGAAAAAATTTTCCTTGATAAAAAAGCAGCAATAGATACATTTCTTTTCACTTAATTTTTAATGATCACGATATTACCATCAACAATTTTTGCCTACACGATAATCAGCCGTGTAAGCGCCCGATTATACGTGCCTGAGTCCATTGTTTGTCATGCATCGTTGTCAAGACTATGGCACTCATTTGAAACAGTGTAATTTTATTTTCTAATAATAAACTATTCAATTATTAATGTTAAAATTCAGCTATTTTATTTTAAACCAAAATTTCGACATCCAAACATTGATCCCAATTTAGGTTCAATTTTTTTAAAAAAAGCACTCTAAAATGTATAAATAATGTAAATTAAATTTTCTGCCTATGACTGTAAAGTTGTATAAACTTTCATTAGGATCAAATGATCATAAAGGTCGTAAAGGTAAATTAAAACTTTATGTAATCATGTTATAAAATTTATTAATAAGAATTTTTTAGATGATAATGGGTAATAATTTTACAGTATGATATTATGCAAATTTAAATAGATGTACTAGAAATCTAAAGTTTGATTGATCTGCATGATTTATTCATCAAATTTTGGTTATTTTTCACACATAATTATCACACATATAGATCAACGAACATACACATGCATTCGGATATGTAATTACTGAATGTAATTTGAATACAAAAAAACGCAAACGTAAGCGATGTCATAGTTGCGATAACTAACAATAGTAAAAGCAAGAATTTTAGACTCAAAAATTGGTAACCCGATCCAGATTGATTTGTTTATTTACCTGATATTTAAATGATCTTCAGAGGAAATAGCAAAATAATTTTTCGGATAACCTGATAATTTTTTATATGATGGCTTGTAACCTTTTGTTTATTTACCTGATATTTAAATGATCGTCAGAGGAAATAGCAAAATAATTTTTCGGAAACCTGATAATTTTTTTATATGATGCCTTGTAAACTTTTGTTTAATTAGCTAATGCGATTCAACTGCCCGGTAATGTATATTAAATGCTTAACAATATATAAATGAGATGCTAGATCAGTTCTCGTTTGTATGTTACTTGGACTATTTTTTAACTACTATATTTGCTTTCGTTCCTGGTTTCTAGCTGACTATGTCGCGAAACTACCTTATTCTTTATGTGAACCACATGCTGTGCTTAATAGCCATACGCAAATGTTTTCATTCACCAATATGGCTTAAGTGCTTTTCTTTATATAAACCACCTTCATTGCATCAGCAACATGCCGTGCTTAATAGCCACGCGCAAGTATCAATATGGTTTGGGTACATTTCTTTATATGAGCCACATGCTGTGCTTAATAGACACGAAATATTTTCATTCACCAACATGGCTCAGTATTTTCCAAAGCCTTAGAAAATTTAAACTTTGCTGAGAGCTTTGACCTGAGCCAGGAGTTTTGTCTTTCGCCGGATTTAGGGGCTGACTGTACATAATGAAGATTTGAACCTGTGTTCCAAAGAATATAAAAGGTCAAAATTTTTTAATTTTAAATCTTTTTTTCCTTGTCTTTTCCTTGTCTTTTTTTCAATACTCTTACCACAATGATGTTGTTGATTCATTGCTTGATTGCATTACTGTTTATTCATTCGATTGTGGCCGAGGTCATTATCAGATCTGTACCTTCTGCGGGCTTGCCTCCTAATCAATATATTGTCGAAAATCAACTGACTTTTTCTGGACAAACACACGAACTGGTCAAAGTCAAAGATATCGTTCTTGTTTCGCAATTGGCGAACAGTGTCTTGGTGAAAGTTCAAGTCGATAAATATGGCGTCGCTCAACAGGTGGCAGGCTTCCAAATTGCAACTCCCAACTCTAGTTTGCATGGTTTGGCCCTCTCCACCAAGTA